GCCCGAAAACTTATCGCTTTAAGCAAAGGACTGAACCTTCTCTAATTAGTTAAAAAAAAATCTGGATGACATATAATTCTATTTAAAAGAATTCAAAATGACACCTTAATTATAAGTATTGCATTTATTTAAAGGAACTAAAAGATCTTCAGACATCTTTTTTAAATCATCAGAAAAAGATAAGAAAAGACGTATATATGTGTGTATATATGTGTATACATGTACGTATGTGTATATATGCATATGTGAATATGGATGTATGCATGTGTACGTATATATATATACACTTACTACTATAATGAACACACAATGGCTTGGATTGCAATCCAGATTTCTCACTCAGCTATCAAGCTATTTGTAAGTAAAGACAGTGACTGCCAGGAATGATTCTTGCCCTATCATTCATGTCCAGTTTCCCTTGTTTTAAATGTGCCTTTGGAAGGTTAAATCCAGAGTCCATTAGATCTGAAACATGTGACCAGCTTGCAAACAACTTGTCCTGTCTCCAAACCTTACATCACTCCGTCCTAGTGCTGCTAGGACAAGAGATGCGTGGCCTGGGATGAGATGATGTTACAAAGACAAATGATGCTAAAGACAAAAGCAGACTGTACAAAAGTATTGCTTATTCCTCAGGTTTACGACCTTGCAACCTTAGGCTAATGAAAGACAAATACAGGTAGGTGCAAGATGACAGAGACTCTCCTCCACGTTTTCAGTGTTCTGTTGGCTTGTTTGCTTGCTGTAGTTGTTCGTATGACCCTTTTACACAGAAGCAGAGGTCAAGAGCACCGAGGTACTTGGCACACTTGGAGCATTATTTGGGGTTTGGAAGTTCTACTTACGCAACTCTTAGCGTCTCTAGTCTCCAAAGGGAACGTGCATGAACAGACACAGCACCGCCTTCATAATGAACAGTTCTGTTTAAAGAAACAAAAACAGCACAATTTTGAGTTCACCATGTTTCATTCTTTGGACTCTTACCTTTCAAGCTAATTTAAAGAGAAAAGTAAATGGGAAAGCACTTGGATAAAAAGTTAACATCATACTCGGGAGGAGACAATACAGCTGGAAATAAAAATAACCAACACACATCAATGTAAGTATGCCCTGAATAAATATTGATTAAAACATATTCTCTAGCTGTCATTTTCTCCCTCTAATCTCATTCTCTCTCTCTCTCTCTACACACACACACACACACACACACACACACACATATCTGTGTCTCTGTCTCTCTCCTTCCTACCCTCCCTC